TCATCCCCGCGAGAGAATATAAATCACCAGGTGATTGATAGTAGTGTATATCTCACGCTCGTTCGCTAGCTTCTTTTTTAATCCGACACAAATGATTTTACACTTTGATTCCTTTTTGTGACGGTGTTTCGGATTCGGTTTACGAGCTTCATTTGAGGCCGTAAAGTTTATCTGCTACATTAATTTGCCGGTAACCAGCTACTCTACATATTTTGTTATCATTGAGAATAATGAAGACCTTTCAAGGAATTCAAAGGCAGCGGTATTGTTACAAAATTCAGCAATACAAAGGGCTTGATGAGATCTTCCATCACAATGTGAAATCCAATATTATCCGCCATTAGCTATTCAGCGTGAAGCTAATATTTATAGTGGAAACCTATCGGGTTTCTAACAACTATTGAGCCGACCCGTCCCGCACTGGAGCAGTACCTGGCCTGCCGGGTGCCTTTCCACGGCAGATTAGCAACATTCCCCATTGTGGCGGCCATTCACATGCAAATGCTCCGACAAAACGTGCGGAAATATAATTAGCTTACCATCGGCAGGTCCGAAGGGTCGCCACCTTGACCATGCAAAATCGAAACCGGTCTATGTTGTCTTCGATTTTAATTAATGTTTTCGTCCGGGCGTTAACTCCTGACCGATGTCCGAGGGTCTCCAGCCCGTAGGTTTCGCGAGCCACCTCGTGGGAACGGATCGGCACGGCTCCGATACTATCTTTATGTCGGCCGCGGCTAGTAAGCCTCAGTTTTCCCAGAAACCACCATTAACTGTGGCCCTGGAGCGTCGTACGAAACATGTCACAGTTATTATGCTCACTAGAAATGATAATATCTTTGGGCTGTGACGCGGCAGACAAAGTGGCTATCTGCGCAGGACCGACTTCTCGTACTGATTGTTGACACGATTAAGTCATTAATTTAATCTCGGTGACTCTGGAAATGAGGAATGTGCTGATCTCCCTGATAATTAAAACAGTGTTTTCTGACCACATGGTGGACACGCAAAAGCGTTAAATTTCTCACGGTAGCGATGCCTGTTTGCGAAACTAGACTGGTCTAATCCAAACAAACCCATACGGTCAGTTGGTCAACAATGACCACACCTGGTTCGCCGCGCAAATTGACACCCTCCTCAAAGCGAATCGTCTATCCTTTTGACGTGTTCTTTGTCGGCTAAAGGCGCGTTCGGGGCGTTTACTCTTTAAAAATAATAACTGAAGCAAACATCGCATAATTTGCAGCCCCTGGGAACTTGGATGACGCTTTTGACAAGTCTTGTGGGCTACACAATGAAAGCGCATTTTGTATGGTTACAAGACTGCAAGAATTTACACTCGGATTAAAGTCATGTAAGGCAAAGACAGTTATGCTCTATGACAAGGAAGGGTGTTATTCAAAATTACGGTTCATGAAATTGCATGGTCAAAATGACAAATTAGTCAATAACGGTTTCTGACATTAGAATATTTTCGAAGCAATCGCTTTGAATAATTATGATTTCCGATTATTTGAAATTTCGTTTCTACAAAATCAACGCAATATAATACATATTCGCCAACGATTTTTCCATCCTCATTGTAAACATTTTCCCTCACAATGAGGTTTCATTAAAATTCACCCGAGGGGTGGTATCGAGACCGATGGCGGAATCTTTCTAAATGACCGGTATAGCACAAAAACTTATTAAGATATCTCAAACAAAGCGTCATGATTGATGCGGCTCAAACAAAGAAGGCTATTGTTCACTTGACGGGTGAACCCGGGGCTTTTGTTTAGTATACTTTTACATGTAATTATTTAATAAACCGGTTTCGGCGATTCTAATTAATCAATCGGTATGTGAGCTTTGTTTTGCATATGCGAATGTGGACAGCGAGGGGTTGTTTGGACTCGTATTTTAATTTAATAGTAACTACGCGTTTTTCTGTTTTGTATCATTATGAGAATTTGGACAATAGGTAAATATTGATGAAACAGTATAAATGAATAAAGCAATTTATTATGAGTCTAAAACTTAAATTATGTGCTGGTAAGTAGGTAACTTTATGATTAATTGTTAGATCAAATGCAGCATTATGAGATCTACAAAAACAGTATTGTTCTCAAAGTCAGCATTTCGGGTGTGACACAAAAGAATATTGACCAATGTCCGAAACATATCTGTGTCAGATCAAATTCCGAGATCAAAATTGGGTAGCTCGCACACCTCAATGGGTCCTTTCAACCGCTAAAACGTTTTAGAAACTACCGACTATTCACAAAACAAAAGAAGAAAAAACTTTTACAAAAGACGCGTCGACGGATCTAATCTTGACCAGATCTACAAGTTTGATATCTAAGGCGATTATGCTGTGACAAAGGAGGCACACTCTTCTCTCTTTCTATTAACAGTTAATCTCGGATAAAAAATGCTGTATGGACCCTAGAGTTTGCACCTTTCTTTTGTTTGTTGACAGCAAACAAATCGTTTGTTGGGCAAAATACGGGGTCGAGAAGACCTAATGGGGTGCTTAAGGGTTGAATTGAGAGCAGCGGGTTACGTGTCCTTTCCGGCCGTGGCCTTTGCATATCTGCCGGGAACTACAAAGGAAAGGGACAATGCTAATGATGCTATTGCAAAGGTGTGATGCGTCAACCATAGAGTGAGTTTTTTGGCACCGCCGATTTTTTGCGGGATGATAATGAAAATAGCGACCTCGGCAGCATTTCATTGCTTTTTATTTTGGTTATGCAAATTGTCTAATATATCTTACAGCTCCTGGTAAATTTTTGATTAATCTCAGATACTATAAAATAAATAAGTAAATTACCTATAACTTGCTTTTGACATTGACTTAGAACCACTTATTACAAGCTCTAGTAATCTGATATGATTTATTTGATCAATTAAAAAAAGATGAAACTTACTTATGCAATTTTAAAGCAAAAGATTCTCAAACTCTGAAATTTCAAACATTACCTACTTGCCCAAAATATAGGGGTCATTCAAGGCACCATACTGGGTCCACTTTTATACAATCAGCGGGACTGATATGAACGCAACCTGTGCCCTCATGAAGGTTCCTTTATGGCGGAGGAAACCACCTCCGTTGTGTTATCTTTTATACTGCTTAATGAATACAAGGGTCGGACTTTTGGGAATAAAGCAAATGCTTAACTGCTTAGTTAAAAGTTCAACAGTGATTATTGCTTTTTTATCATTTGAAAATGTTTGTGGTCTTGCAAAGGTGCTCCGTTTTTGTTTTTTAGAATCTTTTAGTTTATAAAACTAGATTAAAATTTGTAGTCAGAGATACTATGCACATAATTTTACCTTGCATGATTTAGTGGACCTACGTAACGCCTGTCACAACATTATAGTACTTTATATTATAACACTTTGAAAGCCAAACGCGTCGCCTTCCAGGCTCAAGGTCTACGGTAGTTAGAGAAGCCTTGACCAATGCAGTAAAGCGGCTATTTACGTATTACTTTAAAATGCTCTAAAACAAAGTCATAGTGCCATTACTCATTAAATCGTTGGAACTTAGCCTACAATTAACCGTGGTGGGATGGCGCAATCTGTTATTTTTTATTATCAGAACAATTTAATGATGCCAAGCAAAAATATTAACAGATTGATGTCTGTGTTTTAAAGATTACGTTAAATTACTAAAGCCCAATTTGACAATAATTGATTAATTTAATTAAGATCAAAATACCGACCCAGGATTTTTGTTCATTAATATTGCTTTTCATATTAGAGAATATAGATTTAAATCAAGCATGACCATTTCGAGCTATAGATATTTAAAACTATGCAGCATGAATTAAGTTCTTTCAAGACAGTTATTAATATTTCCTTTTGGACACTAAATTGGCATATTATAATAAAAAATCCAACGTCAAATAAATATAAAACATGGTAAATAGTAAATGATTGGTAAATTTCCCGCGTAAAATTCCATTGATTGATTTGCAAGCATATTATTCAGAAAATAAATTACTTTTTATATGAAAATCTCTGTCTGGCTTCACTGTTTTAGTAAGAATTATCCTATCTCTTACATTTATACTAGGAACTAATTTCACTGTTATATTATCGACAACTAACTCGTCCAATCGCTCACGAGGTCACTACAAATCCGTCGTCATCGAACCATCAATCACAGCTGTCTCTAAAACAATAACCGTCTATATTAATTCTTCCATAATAATAACCTATTACTGTTCATAACTTTATATTATCATTGATAGTCAACAGTTACTTAGAGTTGCCCTTGGGCAGTTGTCTGCCTAATGACTCGTCAAGATTAATGGTCTCACTAATTACACTTGTGACAATCAATGTATCTTAAAGCGAGCTTTTTGTATCGGTAGGCACTTATTAATACGTAGGTCAACCCATTGATGAGCCCTCAACGTAATTGGTTATGTAACTTTGAAGGTTTAGTCAGATTCCTTTGGTTTTAGCTAGATTGTAGTTCCAGATCATAATACATTGACGTATCTATTAAATTCGTTATTATTTAATAGAGGTATTAAACTGATGATTAATTCCTTAGCGTTGATGACGATCCTGATTAATGTGAATTTTTAATGACCGATCCTAATTATGTAACGTTTTAGAATCATAACTTGTATTTCCAAGCTAAATGTTGAAATTTTGGTCACCAAAATGTTACATTTGAATTCTGGATTGCATTAAAACGTGCTAAAATTTGTGCTATTTCCTAAAAGCAATTAAAGTTACTGAAAGTTAGATTAACGTTCCTTACGGCCATAATATTAAACTTATATTACATAGTACTTACAGAGTAGCGCAAAGTACCGGTGGACAAAAAAGAAAACTTTAATAACACGGGTTTACTTTCAAATGTCTCAATATAGGCATGGACTGTATTATTTCCAGTTAGTACTCGTACAAGCTCTTTGTTAGTAAAATTTTCTTCATCGATCCAATTTTTCAACAATTTTAGAGCATTTGGAAGTTAAAGTTTTAGGCAGTGGACTCACCTTCTCTCCTCATGCCCATTTTGAGACATTTCCTGAGTCGGCAGTACTGGCACTGGTTCCTGTGGTGCTGGTCAATGGGGCAGTTCCTGTTTCCTCTGCAGGAGTACGTCAGGTTTCTTCTGACGGACCTCTTGAAAAAGGATTTGCAACCTGTTGAAGACATATTGGATTTGAAAATCATTGATGAGCTCTTGTGAGCATTAAACATAATAATGCAAAGATCAAGAATTTGTAAAATTGCATGAGATTGTACCTCATAGATCGATTATAATGAGAGAGCCTAATACAGATGTTCCGAACATAGCTCCCGCAGATTTAGTAGCATTAATTAATGAAGTGTTTACTAATATTTACTCGGCAAACGAAATAATTTAGAAATACTTTATGGGCGGTAGTAATCAGTCGTTAGTCAAGCGTGTTAATACGTTTAATGCCATTAACATAATCCCATTTATCATTGGCTACTCGATACGGATAATTTGACAATTCGTATGGAAGCATACGATCGAATCGTATCTTTGGAACAGTTAAAATACCAACTTAACGATCTATAGACAGTTAAAACCACTCTCATGAATATATAATTCGTTTACATTAGAATAAGAAACAATTTGCCTTAAACAACAGGTTTTCCATATCACCGTAAGGCTTATCTTATTAAATTTAAAGCCCATAATCGCGTGTGGAAAATTTCGCAGAAAGCCAGCTTAATCTAAGAATTCGATTTTCATTACAAAAATTATAGTATCGAAGTCGCTGTAAATTATAAAAAGCGGCATAAAAACGTGATCATTTATGGAGTATTGTCACACTTAAAAGGTATTATTAGTTTTGGATAATGTATTGGTATTTTGGGTTGTTTAAAGTGGGCTGATTATACAGTAGGTAGAGTTAAAGCAGTGGGAGGTGTTTTGAATACAATATCATCATCGGAGAGTAAGATATGGGTGATTTGGTTGTTATAATTTAAATATTCAAATGGTTGATCGCTCGGACAGCTCGTCAGTGGAGCTTGCGTGTTTGTGTGCCATTAGTCGCGAAGGCAAATATGTGGATTCCGTAGCAAATTGAACAAGGTTAAATGTAGTTCAACATTTAACGTTGGAAGCTTTTGAAAATAAAATGCTGTGCTTGTTAATCAATTATTACTGCTGTTTACATCAATGACATCGTTTTATTTTCGCGTGTGGCGCTTTTGGTATTTTATTTACATTTCTGTGCAAATAAAGAACACAAATTCAGTGTAACGAGGCTAATAAAATTTACATGCTCAACGAAATATTTTTGGGAAACTACCGAACGTTAACGTACTTGTGTACCGTTCAAATAGCCGTCATGTAAGACTCGTGTAATGGTCTTAGATGTAAACTTCAGCTAGGGTCACCATCTGTCGGAATTCGTCAAAATTCTGTTTACCTGGTTTTAAAATTTATTTTTGTGACTGAGATGGAACAATTTTGTGCACGCTAACTAAAACCTTGTCTTCGTGTTTATTATTGTATTTTTGGCTAAAATGTCCGTTGTTTTGTCCAGATTTTAGTCAGGATTTAAATTCCAAGATGGTAGCCCTGTAGCGTGTTTTGGGCAACAAAGCGCATATTTCCCCGTCCGCCACATTCTTGATACCGTTAGGGTCACGTCGAGATAAGCTGTAAGGCAGGGTACATACGGTGGATATGCAGTGATAGGTGGATGCTATGATCTTACAGCAAAACGCAGGTCTTCGCGCCGCTTTAGAAGAGAGTTATTAAAGAATTTAAAGAGCGCAAGGCAATAAAGTCTGACATCATTCAAACGTAATCAGAAACCATTTTTGCGTGAAAACAGCTCCTTAGTGAAGATATAATCCTAAAGGTTTTTAGAATAGTTTTGGAGCTTTAACTGTGTTAAGTTACTTAAGATTCATTTAAAGTGCCGTATCAGAAATACCTAGAGACGTTAAAAAAATAAAAATAAACTAATTAAAGGTCAAATATTTAGTCTGACAGATTTCTCATCATGGTAAGGTAATTGATCATCGAGACATTTGTGACTTGTGGAAACTTTCTGGAAAAACCGGCGTTTTTAAAAACGCCCCATCAATGATTTCCCACCAAAACCGCCTCCAATTACCGCTATCGTTGAGAAAATCGAGTCTTGCAAATTGTGTTTCACAGATGATAACACAGCGCGGTGATCCTATCAACAAAATAGTTGAAGCAGAAGGCCCAGTCAATACAAATGCCCCAAATAGTCCTGGTTAGAAAAAACAATACCAAAATTGGTAGTCTGAAAGTTTATGGTGGCTTAAGACCTGCATATTATGTATTATTTTTATCCACAACGAGGGATTAAGCTCTTGTGCAGGACACACCTGATGGAAAGTGATAGATGAAACCTTCATTCAGAATTCTCAAGCAAGGGAGGAATTGGCTATCTTACCTCTAACTGCCGGACAACATTAATGCTATTAACATTGTTGTTATGGTGACAGTATTAGGTAAAATGATGGTAGCTAGCCAAGCGGCCAAAATGAGCAGAAAATGTTGCCCACACTAGGAATCGTGGTCTTACCACTAGATTAAAGCGGGGGTTGGCTTACGCCCGTATTCACAAACATTACTATGAGGTCTCACAGTGCGCGTGGACGCACAGGGTGATACATGAACAAGTCACAGAGCATCGTTTGTGAATACAGGCGAAAGTCTTATCATGTTAGTACGGATGACTCGAGTGGGTCTACTGCGTATCAGTTAGTAATGTTAGGTAAGAGAAAATCCAACAATGGCTAAAAGATTATCCGTTACGAACAAACATTAATTTCATAATCTTTTTTGTATCTGAAAGCTGCTGAAAATATGGGAAGTTATGTTGGAAAGCCTCTATAAATATTAGTTTTCAATCTATAGGTGGTGTACACGCACGCACCTTTATCTACCAATAGATAGTAATAATTTAAGGTTCCTACGTAGTTTCTAATATCGATAAAGTGTCATTACGAAAAATTAAATAGCAAGCTTAATACATTTTGATAGATTTCTCATTTTAATAGAGTCGCTTGAATCATATAAGGTTACGTTACGATCTCATGTCTCGTTTATGTCTAATATAAAAATACATTTACAAAGTTGTTGTACCTAAAGGCTGTACTAGTAACTATGTTCAAGATTTTTGTAACCCTATGGCCTATGTTCAACAAAAACTGTGTTTTACAGATTTAAACTAAACTAAGGTCATAATGGGGTTTACCATGATTAATCTTTGGGGTAGTCCCAGAAATCCGTAAGAAAGGCTAGAACCCAGAGCCGTAAAACCAATTATGAAAAAAAACAAAGTCGCGTGCTTCATTGACCGACATCGCGTGACGTAATTGATCGGTGGCAGAGTACACTCACGAAGGCGAGTGAGCTTTACTTGTGTGTGTACATGGTATATAATTTATGACGATCTATAACAAACTAAATTTCACGCGGGTGAAGCCGCGGGCAAAAGCTAGTTCATGAGCTTATAGACAGTGGATTCCTAGCCCTTTGGGTATGGATATGGAACCCTAAAAAATCTAAGGATAATTTCAATGTCGTAGTCTATTTTAGTTGTTATGAGTTATGACGAATCATAGGCCCTTTATTTTGCGTTGCTATGACTCATTTGGGGAAATATCTGATTAATTTTCATGAAACAACAACATCGGACTACGATATTATTGAAAAGTCACACTTATTACAAATAGTTAAGATACCACAGTTTTTAGTTTAATATTGTCATCCAGAGTTTATTAATTTCACAATGAAATGTAAACATTACGCTATAACATAAAATGTGACCATTTATTAAATAAATATTTCTAGTTCGCAGAGGTTTAATCTTCTAATAAATAAAATTCTAGTGTCACAGTGCTTGTAACAAAACTCCTCCGAAACGGCTTGACCGATTCTTATGAAATTTTGTGTGTTTGCTTTATTTAGTCCGAGAATAGTCGCCTAGGGGTGATAAGGCTTTTTAACGCGTACGAAGTCGCGGGCATAGCTAGTATAATAATTATGATATTATTATAATGTTCGATGGTAAAATACAAAGCACATTTTGAGTGTAACAAGGATATTCTTATCTATTAGTAAATTCTCGAATCGTATTTAAATAAATCGACAAAATAGCTCTTATGGCACCGATTTTAGGTTCACAATCTTGTTACCAAGCGCGTGTTTTTGATTTAATATTGCGTAACGTCACTATTTGAAGGTGAACCCGAAGTTTTAGTTTTGGCAATATAAGTACAGACAGTGTCAAATCGTACGTGACACGCAAAATGGCCAAAAAGTTAGTCCTTATTTCAATTGGAACAAAGACGTATTGCGTACAGAAGCTACTTTGGGTGTCACGAACCATTTGTCGCTGACTGTACCTACTTTTATGGTGCGCGTGCGTCCACACTGGGCGAAAGGGCTCGCGCGGCAAGCTCGACATCCTGCTCACTCAAGAGCAGGGTGAGCAATACTGTGTAGGTTTGTTGTCGACACAAAAAGAAAATAAGAAGTACGGCTAGCACGAAAAACTTTCGAGTTCGAATCGTTTGCGTATTCGAATCGCCACCAAAATATTTAGTACGAAAACTACAACTGCGCCCTTGTGAACGTGTCGTAAAGTGATCTTAGTATGAGAAATGGTTGCACAAAACTTATTTTGAAATCAAAATTGTCACGTTATCGTTTAATTCGAAGGTTGAGTATCGAATTTTGTCGAATTCGCAAACGATTCCAAGACGAAAGTTGTTCATGCTAGAGGTACAGGATGACCAGCGTGCCGCGCGAGCCCGTTCGCCCAGTGTGGACGCACCATTACCCCAAGTCCCAACCCGTATGGCTCACGCCTAGGGAGTGTAATTTAAATCCTGCAATAAGTAAATTATGAGGGTTGTGATCCCGCAGTGGAGAATAAATGATCTGATGATGACGACGATTAAAACGTACCTCAAAATAAACCAGTGTCCATTTTGCGTTTTTCATAGCCACGATAGCCGAACGGTGAAGGGGTCGGAGTGGCTGACTCGAGATCCGAGGAACGCGGGTTCGAGTCCCACCGCCGCTCGACTATTGTGGTGAGCCCACTCGTAACACAAGCTTATTTAGCTTAACACGAGGGGCTAATGGGACTATTAGTAATTTGGGCAATAC